ACTGCACGTATCGTATCGGAGTTTGATGACAAAAATTATTTTCAGTCCTCTTCATGAAGTAAAAATAATATCTACATCTAATAAAGTTTTGTTAAGGAAGTAAAAATAATATCGAAATGTAATAACTATAATAAACAAATCTAATCATGATTTAACTGTAAACATGAAGTTTGTATAAAAATTACGTGTATGTGCAGGTGATCAACGGACCACACGTGTACCCTGAAGCGCACATGATCTGAGTTTGTGTAAACATCACGTTTATGTCCATCTAATAAAAATAATAAACAAATCTAATCATGATTTACCTGTAAACTTTAAGCATGTATAAACATGACGTGTATGTGTAGGTAATCAACGGACCACACGTGTACCCCGGAGCACACATGATCGAGTCAGAGGACTCTAATAGAACAAATTTAATCATGATGTAACTGTTAACTTTAAGCATGTATAAACATCATGTGTATGTGCAGGTAATCAACGGACCGCACGTGTACCCCGGAGCGCACATGATCGAGTCAGAGGACGGCCGCATCACGCACCTGCGCGGCCTGACGGAGGAACAACGTACCGCCTTCGCTAAGAAGCTCCTTACGCCCCCTGACAGCACCATCGCCACCACACGGCCTTGCAAGATCGTCTACAGGTAGATAAATCTTTATTATTATTAGTATTATACAAGGGTTGAGTAAATACTCTTTAACGATCATTAAATTAGAGATTAGTGAACTTGGTATAGTAATTCTTATTATTATTAGTATTATACAAGGGTTAAATAAATAATCTGTAACGATTATTAAATTAGAGATTAATGAACCTGGTATAGTAATCCTTATTATTATTAGTATTATTCGAGGGTTGAGTAAATACCCTGTAACGATCATTAAATTAGAGATTAATGAACCTGGTATAATCCTTATTATTATTAGTATTATTCGAGGGTTGAATAAATACTTTTTAACAATCAATAAATCAGAGATTAATGAACCTGGTTTAGAAATTAAGTCTCGACGGCTCCATTGCGGTAGCCTGGTCCTATAAAAAGGTCCCTAGGCAAATAAGTTTTTTTTTCGAATAATGATAATAATATTAAAAAATTATAAATAGTATGTAACGATCATTAAGTTAGATATTAATGAACCTGGTATAGAAATTAAGGCCTCGACAGCTATATCGACAGGCGAATAAATCCATACACATATTAATGATATCATTCGAAAATGAAACAAATATTGTGCGTCGAACATTAAATTAGAGAACTATGAATTTAGTATCCAAATCAAAAAGAAAGCGACTCACTGTCCTACAACTTTTGTTGCTCCAGCATCAGTTGCTATTAGACGGTTATATATAGTATATATCATATATTCGCTTTGCTCACTACTCTTTTCGATTCTCATTTGAAAAGTTACCTTAAAATTCATATATAAGTACTTATATTAACAGTCTGCTTATATCGCAAGTTCACAAGGAAAGCAAAAAAAACGCCGAGAAAATTCACCATATCAATATTGAAAACGTTTTCAAGATAGAGAAACGTTTTCCATATCGATATGGTGAATTTTCTTGGCGTTTTCTTTGCTTTTAAATTCCTTGAAATTCATGTATTGTTGTATTTATAATTGTTTGTTGCATGCAGACACCTCATGGACGGAGACCTATTATTGTATTTATAATTGTTTCTTGTATGCAGACACCTAATGAACGGGGATCTGGTACTCATGAACCGACAGCCCACACTTCACAGACCCAGCATTTAGTCACCAATTCGCTTTGCTCACTACTCATTTCGATTCTCATTTGAAAAGTTACCTTAAAATTCATATATAATTGTATTAATAATTGTTTCTTTCATGCAGACACCTCCTGTATTATTATATTAATAATTGTTTCTTTCATGCAGACACTTCATGGACGGAGACCTTTCTCATTTGAAAAGTTTCCTTAAAATTCATGTATTATTGTATTTATAATTGTTTGTTGCATGCAGACACCTCATGGACGGAGATCTGGTGCTCATGAACCGACAGCCCACGCTTCACAGACCCAGCATTCAGGCACACAAGTCTCGCGTCATGAAGGGCGTACGTGTCCTACGCATGCCGTACGCAAACTGCAAAGCTTACAACGCTGATTTCGACGGCGACGAAATGAACCTTCATTTCCCGCAGAACTGGATGGCTCAGAGCGAGTGTGCCACGTTAATCACGACACATAATCAGTACTTGACCCCTAAGGATGGCGCTCCTTTGGCAGGACTTGTACAGGATTGTGTAGTAGCAGGAGTCCTGCTGTCCGTGAGAGGTAAAATGTTCGAGAGGGAAGACTATATTCAGCTTGTTAATGTCGCCATGCAAGACTACAATTGTCCTATCAACATTTTACCGCCTGCCATTCTGAAGCCTAAGAAACTCTGGAGCGGAAAACAGATCATTTCCACGGTCCTGCAGAATCTGATTCCGCAGAAGAATGCCTTGCCAACGTTCCGCTTCAAGACTTCTGTCAAAGCTGAGGTCTGTTGATTTGATTTAATTCCTTCTTGATTTTGATTTATTTTTATTTAATTCCTTGATGATTTTGATTTATTTGACTTCTTGTTGATTTTGATTTATTTTACTCATCGTTGATTTTGATTTATTTGATTCCTTATTGATTTTGATTTAATTAAATTCCTTGTTGATTTTGATTTATTTGATTCCTTATTGATTTTGAGTTATTTAATTCCTTACTGATTTTGATTTATTTGATTCCGTGTTGATTTTGATTTGATTTAATTCCTTCTTGATTTTGATTTATTTAATTCCTTGTTGATTTTGATTTAATTAAATTCCTTGTTGATTTTGATTTATTTAATCCTTTGTTGATTTTGAACTGTTTCATTCCTGGTTGATTTTGATTTATTTAACTTCTTGTTGATTTTAATTCATTCAATCCTTTGTTGATTTTGACTCATTTAATTTCTTCTTGATTTTAATTTATTTAATTTCCCATCGATTTTAATTCATTCAATCCCTTCTTTATTTCGATTGATTAATCCCTCTCCTACTTATAACGCTCGTCTAAGTTAAAGTGAGTTTCTTTGGATTTATTTGATCTCTGATAGTTTTCAACTTGAAGAGACAAAGAAAATCACTTACTTCCCAATGCTTGATTACTTAATTTTGTATTAAAGTTTTTGCATTCCTTTTAATATATCGTATTACCCTGAACCCACGAAAAAAGTAATCACCGCTAATCAATTCTGAATTTATCATTACATTTTTGTAAACAGTAGTTTCACTAATATTAAAACATTTCAATAATAACTTTAAAATATGTTTGTTGTCTCGCAGGTATGACTACAATCGTTACACTTACACTAACATTAAAAAGTTTCTCTTATAATTACATATTATCTGTTTATACTCGCCCAGATATGAAAAAATTGTAATAATAGGTACCTACTAATTGAAGTGTACTAATAATACTAATATAACACTAATTTAAATATTATTAATCAAATTGTACTAATAATTCTAATGTAATATACTAATATAAATGTTAATAATTAAATTGTACTAATAATTCTAATTTAATACTAATATAAATATTGATAATTAAATTGTACTAATAATACTAATATAGGTAATACTGATAAAAATATTAATAATTAAATTCTACTAATAATACTAATATAACACTAATATAAATATTAATAATTATTTTCTACTAATAATACTAATAGGTATTAATAATCAAATTGTAGGTACTAATAATACTAATATAAATATTGATAATTAAATTGTACTAATAATAATTGCACTAAATTGTACTAATAATAATTGTACTAACTTGTACTAATAATAATTGTACTAAATTGTACTAATAATAATTGCACTAAATTGTACCAATAATAATTGTACTAAATAGTACCAATAATTCTAATATAATACTAATATAAATATTAATAATTGAAATGTACCAATAATACTGATATAACAGTCTAATACACGTCTGCTATGATGTGAGTGTGATGTGCTATAGGGTCTACGTCACATGGTCTAATACACGTCTGCTATGATGTGAGTGTGATGTGTATTTTATTGACCAGGGGCCGTATTATCAAAGCTTCGTAAGTACGCAAAATCGACTTACGAGTGGCGTTGCTATGACAACGTAATACTAGCGGTGGTATTATAAAAACATTTGCCCGAGAAAAAAATTTAGGCTTTTAGCTAAGACTTGCGTACGAAAAATTTGATAATGCCAAAATTAGGGTGTATTTACGTACCACAGAACTTTCTTGTCGTAAGTACAAAAAGTTACGAAGTTTTGATAATCCGGCCCCTGAACATCAATTAAGCTTTTGCGTAACCTGTTTATTACAGTAATTACGTCACTTAATTTCAGCCTTCAACTGCACAAGTTAACCCTAGACTTTCCTTGTCAAGAATGCGATGACTAAAATTTAATTCTTTGTCTACTGACATTAACATTCATTACTCTTACATACGAATAGCATTGAGATTCGGATGGAATTATTATTACCTCGAACACCTAGCCTGTTGGCAATATTTTTGGAGTGCTAACTTGATGAATATCGTAATAAATATATTTCTTTTTATCAACTTCTCCGTAATAACTATATTTGTATGTATCAGCTGTACCGTAATAAATATATTTCTATTGATAAACTTTTCAGTAATTAATATATTTCTATTTATCAACTTCTCCGTAATAACTCTATTTGTATGTATCAGCTGTACGGAGGGGCGGTAGCTATGAAGCTGCTGACGGCGTTCAACAGGCTGTTGTTAATTAAGTTAATTATTTATCTACCGACGTTACCATTCATTACTCTTATAGATACGAGTGGATACATATTTATTTACTGTTTACTGAATGAATATCGTAATAACTCTATTTGTATGTATCAGCTGTACGGCGGCGCGGTGGCTATGAAGCTGCTGACGGCGTTCAACAGGCTGTGCATGACGTTCCTGCAGTGGCACGGCCACACCATCAGCAGCAAGGAGTTCCTTACGCCACATGCCGTGGCTTATAAGAGGCGGCAGCAACTTGCTACCTTGCTGCAGGTGAGTGCTGAGTTGTTATTTTATAAAAATAATGCAAAATTTCAAATTTAAACCTGCAAAAATTAGTCCAAATTAATAGCAAAATTCCAAATAATAAATGCGGAAGCTTTTGTTCAAATGAAAACAAACTAAAAAATTAATACCTATCTTTTCTAGAATAGCCTGGCTCAATTAATTGTTTATTTTACAAACATTTTAGCATAAACATATTAAAATTTGTACATACGTGGTTCTAGACTGCCCCGGCGAAGGTTCTGGAGAAGCTGGAGATGACAGAGGATCAGTTCCGGCAGTTTTGGGAGGTGAACCACGTCACCAACTGTGAGAAGAACACCGCACTCATCGACGGTGCTTACACTCAAGTTCTGGGCAAGACAACGTCCTCGGTGACCTCGTGAGTCTAGAACTTCGTGGTGTTCAGAACCTTGAAGTGTTTGGAACATTGAACGGTTCGGAACCTTGAAGTGTCTGAACCTTGAAGGGTTCAAAACCTTGAAGTGTTCGGAACCTTGAAGGGTTTGGAACCTTGAAGTGTTCGGAACCTTGAAGTGTTCAGAAATCAGAACCTCGATGTGTTCAGAACCTCGATGTGTTCAGAACCTCGATGCAGGTTTATTATCATTCTTTCCAATTATTTACGTTGGACAGAGAATTGGTGAGAAAATTTCAGACCAATGGCTTCCCGAAGTTCTAGTAAAAAAAAAAAAAAACATTCTTTTTCTTGTCATGGAAAAACGAAGCTGCGCGGACCTTCGGGGCTGATTAACTGATGCCCAATATGTATTATTTTATTGCAAAATATGTTATTATTTTAAAATATATATATTATATTATATATAAAATGATATATGTCATTTTAGCTATTGTTTCTTGGCTTATCCATGTCAGCCTTGTTTAATTTACCAGCAATTGTGCTCGTTTATCTGAGTACCAACCACTTTATATTGTTATCTTTTGATCATTAGTCTCATTTTTGTCGTATCGTATATGCGTGCAGCGAGAACGAGCGCGGACTGCACAGGCGCACGCTCAACAACAGCATGCGCCTTATGGTCGACTCCGGCGCTAAGGGCTCCAAGGTGAGACTTGTTCTAGGGATTCTCTTAAGTTGATTTTAATGTTAACTGATATTTAGAATGAATGTTAGGCTCATTAGTCGATTTTAATGTTTATTTACTATTTAAAATATATATTTTCTCTAAATTTCTCGTATCTTGAAATGAATTGTGTCGATTTTTTATGTCTGAATATTTCACTAATTTTTAAATGCTTGCTCGTGTTGTGATGCGTCAAGGTACAAGTTAGTGACTGTTTTTGAACTATATAGTAGTTCCCAAGTTATGTGTAGGTACATATTTGCGGCAAATTATCTAATAGTTCCCAAACTGTTTGTCAATTATTGTCTCCTCTGGGTCATATTTATATTTTAGGCTGTGGTTATGTGACATATTTTTAGTATTTTAATGTAGCCTTGTATAACAACGTCGAAAAAATAGGTGACGTGCTTATTCTTTTCTTTTATTCGGTATTAACTGGAATGTCTGAGAACCACTGCTATATACATTGGTTATTGTGGTCTATACGTCGAAAACATTAACATTGGTGACATGCTTATCTTGGTATTTTTATTCGGTATCAACTGACGAGTCTGAGAACCACTGCTATATACAGTGGTTACTGTGGTCTATATTCAGTTATTTTTATTATTCCTTATTTAGAAACACCACAAATCAGATTAATTTTTTTGCATACAGGTGAACATGAACCAAATGGTCTCGCTGTTTGGCCCCACAGCCCTGGACGGGAAAAGGTTTCTCTGTTCTGTATTCAGTTTCTTTTATTATTCCATCTTATAGAAACACCCTAAATCATATTATTTCCATACAGGTGAACATGAACCAAATGGCGTCGCTGTTTGGCCCCACGGCCCTGGACGGCAAAAGGATGCCGCTGAGCCTGGCCGGCAAGAGCCTCCCCTCGTTCCTGCCCTACGACATGAACCCGCGCGCCGGCGGCTACATCAGCACCCGCTTCATGACCGGCATAGACCCGCAGAGCTACTTCTTCCTCTGCATCGTCGGCCGTGACGTGAGTCTTTGTCGTGATGTCCGATGTCCATGCATCATCGGCCGTGATGTGAGTCCTTGCATCGTCGGCCGTGATGTAAGTCCATGCATCATCGGCCGTGATGTGAGTCCTTGCATCGTCGGCCGTGATGTAAGTCCATGCATCGTCGGCCGTGATGTAAGTCCTTGCATCGTCGGCCGTGATGTAAGTCCATCGTGATGTAAGTCCCTGCATCATCGTGATGTAAGTCCCTGCATCGTCGTGATGTAAGTCCCTGCATCATCGTGATGTAAGTGTTTGCATCGCCTTATTTGTGATGTACGATCTTAATGTGATGTACGATTAATGATTTAATTTTAATTCATGGTATTACTGTAATATCTTAGTTATGCCATTCATGCTATTGTTAAGTCATACCAATGATATATTTTGAAGTAATTTAAGACTTGATTTGTTCGGTGCAGTCGCTGCAACACACGGCCGTGAAGACCGCCAACTCAGGCTACATGCAGCGCTGTCTCATCAAGCATCTCGAGGGCATCGAAGTCTCCTATGACATGACTGTGCGAAACTCGGACGGTCTCGTACTACAGGTTAGACCCCAGGTGGTCTGCTGGGTCTTCTGGTGTCATGGGGTCTAATATGTAACGCGGGGTCATGTGGTCTAATATGTAGCGCGGTGTCATGGGGTCTAGTGCCCGGTGTCATGGGGTCTAGTGCCCGGTGTCATGGGGTCTAGTGCCTGGTGTCATGGGGTTTAGTGTCCGGTGTCATGGGGTCTAGCGCCTGGTGTCGTGGAGTGTAGTATGTAGCCCGGTGTCATGGGGTCTAGTGCCTGGTATCATGGGGTCTAATATGTAGCCCAGTGTCATGGAGTCTAGTGCCTGGTGTCATGGAGTCTAGTGCCTGGTGTCATGGGGTCTAGTGCCTGGTGTCATGGAGTCTAGTGCCTGGTGTCATAAGTTTGGAATTAGTGAAGTATTTTACTGTGGAATTAGTAAAGTATTTTACTTTTGAATAGTGGATTATTTTATTTATGAATTAGTGAACTATTTTTGTTTTGAATTATTAAAGTATTTCACCTTTGAATTATTGAAGTATCTTTCTTCTGAGCTTGTTCATATTACCGACAGTTCGAGTACGGCGAGGACGGTCTGGACGTAACCAAAGCGCCGTTCCTGAAGACCCCCAAGATATTGGACGTGGTGGTTGACAACTGCGTCAGACAATTGCACGACTCGCAGCTACAGGCTGCTCAAGACAAGCTTAACAACGCTAATATATCCAAACATAGGAAGAAGGTAGGGATTGATTAATTAAAGAGATAAATACTACCAAACACAGGATGAATTAGCGTTTATTTAATTAATGTTTATTTAATTAATTAGTGTTTAGTTAATTAATTAACGTTTCGTTAATTAAATGATGTTTCAGTAATTGATGTTTAGTTAGTTAATGTTTAGTTAATCAATTAATGTTTAATTAATCAATTAATGTTTATTTAATTAATTAGTGTTTAGTTAATTAATTAACGTTTCGTTAATTAAATGATGTTTCAGTAATTGATGTTTAGTTAGTTAATGTTTAGTTAATCAATTAATGTTTAATTAATCAATTAATGTTTATTTAATTAGATAATGCTTAGTTCAATAACGAGACGAGAACATGCAAAAGAAATATTATGCTTGGGTACCAACAAGCTAGGCGCTCAAACAGCGTTGACTGTACTCTCCGCTAAATTGGCCCCATGAAGCGCGGGTTCGATTCCCGGAACGCAGGGATAATTTACTGGCATGGCTCCCGCGCAGCCACCACGAGATCAGGGGGCTACACCAGCCGATGTTCTCATAATACCTTAGAAATTGCTCATAATTTCCACAATGTTCATAAACCTAAATGCTCATAATCCTAATAATGCTCATAATTCTCGCAATATATGTTCGCAATTCTCACAATGCTCATAATTTTTACAATGCTCAGGATGCTCATAATTCTCATGATTCTCAAAATGCACACACATTATTCTAATAAGGCTAATTTTTCTAATCATGCTCATTATTCTAGTTATGCTCATTAATCTAATAATGCTCATTATTCTAGTTATGCTCATTATTCTAGTTATGCTCATTATTCTAGTTATGCTCATTATTCTAATAATGCTCATTAATCTAATAATGCTCATAGTTCCCGTACGTCGTGGCCCACGCCTGATCATTGAGGATGCATTTTTTTATAATTGCTGATCAAAAATAATTTAAATTAGGACCCATAAAAGGTCTGTCTGATCACGTTATAGCTTGCATCTTTGTTGTAAGGTATTGATTCTAGATTTGTTTATTTATCGCTTCACATTCTTCTTAGCTTCTGGTTCACGCTTTTTTTTTTTTGAACAATGAAACTGATTTTCTAATCGTAAACAATGATTAAATTATTTAGGTAGATAATTTGATCACGTCCGTTGATGAACTGTGACACTGCTTATCAACCTGCAAATTGTTATTAAATTTTGTCGATTGAATCGTTCAATCCCGTCAGTTTTTGAACTGTAGAAAACCGTATCAATTGGTAAACTGAATTAAAATATCAGTGAAGCGTTTAGATTGATCGGTCAATCACGTCTCTTCTTCAACTGGCAAACTGCATTTCAACAGCTACACTATCATATTTCAATTTCTTCAGATGTTTTCAATGATGTTTTATTATATTATGTTCATATTACTTTATCATATTATTTTAAATGATTGCGAAGGTACGGAAGTATCTAAAGAAGCAACGTAAGCTAGGCGCCAGACGCGTTATTATTATGTTAATTTTACATTATCGTATTATATCAATGATGTTTTATTATATTATGTTAGTATTACTTTATCATATTATTTTAATTGATTATGAAGGTACGGAAGTATCTAAAGAAGCAACGTAAGCTAGGCTCCAGACGCCGCTGCAGCGCGTTCACCATCTTCTGCGAGGACCAGGAAAACTGCACTGGACAACGCGACGCTAAGGGCGCGTCTACCATCAATAGTGACACGGGGCGGTCTAGACGAGCTCAAACTTTGTTGAATAAATGGAACGAATTGGATCACGATTCAAAATTAGAGTGAGTATTAGTAATTATAAGATTTATTTTTGATTATGTCATTGATTGTCTATGTATCTTTCATGAGTCTTTTGGGTCTGTTTATTTTTTATTGTTAAAATCTGGTGTTGATTATATCTATTCATCAAATCTGTATATTCGTACTATACTCAAATCCATATTTTTTCGTTTTTCCTTCATTACTCACCTACGAAAGTCGAATGTTTGTTTTTCCTTCACTGCTCAGATACTAAAATCGAACATTTGTTTTTTTTCTTCACTGCTCAGATTCCTTACATTAATCTAGTTTTTTCCTCAATTCACCAGATACGAGAACCGGTACCGTGCCGTAGTGCCGGTACGACCAGATCCCGTTCTGTCGAGGTACTGCGGCCACAGCAACGTTGGCGTCATGTCAGAGGTGCTGGATGACTTCGTCGAGTCTTACTACAACCAGCAGTACGCCAAGAGGGATACGCATCATAAGAAATACGACAGACAAACGGTATGTTTTTCTTGATATTTAACAGTGCAGACTAGTGTTAATGACTTGTATAAACTCTTCTTTTGCTCCTCGAAATTCATCATAAGAAATACGACAAACAAACGGTATGTTTTGCTTGATATTCAGCGGTGCAGACTTGTGTTTAATGACTTGTATAGACTCTTTTTTTGTTCCTTGAATGCCACACTATTGATGCTCCTATTTCGGTATAGATTTAACGGACAGTCTACTTACAATGTAGTTCAACTTTTATGTTCGTTGTCCATCACTCTTGTCCATGAAACACTTGGTGTGTTTTCTTTACGTTTCTTTCGTTTATCCCATTCTTAAATGGATTTAAAGCCATTTTTGCTTTTTCTAGCACTGTCGTATTAACTACTGATTGCAATGGTAATAATGGTTACCATGGTCATGGCTCGTTGTAACACTGAGTGCGGTGGTAATAAAGGTTAACCATTGTTGGACTAGGATAAGGTTCACCCATGAGAAGCTCATTTTCGCGGATTTAGTTTGTTGTTCGCCTGTGACGTCACTGATCTCAGTGACGTCACAGGCATTAACCAATCACCGAAATGCGATCAAACCCGTCAACCAATCCGTCATAGGAATGACGGGTTTGTTTACGCATTTCGGTCGCAGTGACATAGCAAGAAAGCTGAACTGAAAGACGGAACTTCTCGTGGGTCAAGCTCATATAGTTCAACCATAAAGGTTACCATTGTCATGGCTCGTGATAAGACATGACGGTGGTAATAAGGGTTACCATTGTCATCGCTCGTGATAACACTGACTGCGGTGGTAATAAGGGTTACCATTGTAATGGCTCGTGGTAACACTGACTGCGGTGGTAATAAGGGTTACCACTTACCTGTGTCATAGCTCGTAATATGACATTGCGATGGTAATAAGGGTTACCGATGTAATGGTAATCGCCAGGTATTCTAACCGTACACAATAACACAAGCAGTAACAGCATACATAACCGTACACAATAATATTTCGAGGGGCGTTCACTGAAGGTTCACTTATTCCAACAGATCGAGACGACGGTGGCCATCAAAGCTCGCAGCGCTCACGTCGACCCTGGCGAAGCCGTGGGCGCCATCTGCGCGCAGGTCTGGCTTCAGCTGTACAATTTATTACGAATTTAACTATTTTATTTACAATTATGAATCTTTAGGCCTATGGTGTCAAATTTATTGTGAATTTAACTATTTTTATTTTTATTTATTTTTATTTATTTTATTTATTTGCAATTATAAATCTTTAGGCAGACAGTATTTTCGATGTAATTTTATATTCCGCAATATTAATTTATGTTGCTATTTTAACTAGCATAAGGAATTTATGGGCTTTTAGCAGTATTTGGTGTTACGGTATTTCGATTATTCACTCCGCAAAATTAATTTGATATTTTAACTCAAATGACTTGGTCCCACGGTATTTCCAAGGCAATTCCTTGTTCCGTGGAAGAAAGGACCTTGTATTTCTGGAATCGCTTAGTGATGTCATAAGTACGTTATTGAATCAGTGAGATTTGTAGGTTACTCGTTCCTGCAGCGATTTTCATATAAACAGCGATTTATTCAGCTCAAAATTATGAAATATACAATTAACGCAGTTCTTACAACTATCCCAGTAAATGCAGTTTTTATGAATCTAAGTTTGATGGTTGACGGATTAACTTCTGGTCGTTAGGATTAACTTTACTTCTTAGGATTAACTTCTCGCGTTGATGGTCGTTAGGAGTAACTTCTCTAGCTAATTTTTCTCCTATTAAATATAAAATACAGTATATAAAATATATGTATACTCTTTCCGAACGAATTTTATTACAATTATTAATATATTTTTCCCAGGCTATTGGCGAGCCTCTCACTCAGATGACACTGAACACTTTCCACTTCGCCGGTCGCGACGAGTTGAACGTCACTCTCGGTACGTCGTGCGACGTTATTCTCTGATATATGCTACTAACGCAGATGGTTTCAATGTATTCCTAGTATTGATTGTTTTATATAAACTAGAACTACATGTACATGATTAAGTTTATATGTAATTTCAAGAAAATATTCTCTCATTCACGTCATTCTCGGTACGTTAAGCTACGTTATTCTCAGATATATGCTACTAACGCAGATAGTTTTAATATAATCCTAATATCGATTTTTTTATTCACTTTATGTCTTATTATCAATTGTTTTATATTCGCTAGAACTGCAGGTACATGATTAAGTTGATTGAAACTCATATAAATGCTGGAAGGTATTTTTTTTACACGTGTGTTTTTTAACGTGTCATCATAATATTGTTCATATTTGTGTTTAATTTTGAACAAAAACACTTTATTTGCTAAAGATTACTCACGCTGCTCATTATTTTCATTCTTATTCTAGATTGTTTTTACTTGTGTCATCAATCACCTTGATTATTATTCTCCTCACCGTCTTTGCTCATGTTTTTTTTTTCTTTCATCCCTGGACTATTTTTCCACTCGAGTTATCACCCTCCTTCTGATGTCATCACCATCCTTTTAATATAATCACCCTCCATGTATGTCATCACCCTCCTTGTGATGTCATCACCTCCCCTCCTTCTGATGTCATCACCATCCTTTTAATATCATCACCCTCCATGTATGTCATCACCTCCCCATGTTCTCATCACCTCCCCTTGTGATGTCATCACCTCCTCATGTTCTCATCACCCTCCTTGTAATGTCATCACCTCCTCATGTTCTCATCTTGTGATGTCATCACCCTCCATGTTCTCATCACCCCCCTTATGATGTCATCACCTCCCCATGTCCCAGGGGTGCCCCGTATGGTTGAGATCCTACGCACGGCGAGCGCGAACATCTCGACGCCCATCATGGAGATCCCCTTCAGACCGGGCGTGACTAGACCCCAGGCTGATGCCCTCAAGAGGAAGTTCACTGAGGTCACCCTCAAGCAGGTTAGACCCTCAAGCAGGTTAGACCCTCAAGCCGGTCAGACCCTCAAGCCGGTTAGACCCTCAAGCAGGTTAGACCCTCAAGCAGGTTAGACACTCAAGCAGGTTAGACCCTCAAGCAGGTTAGACCCTCAAGCAGGTCAGACCCTCAAGCAGGTTAGACCCTCAAGCAGGTTAGACCCTCAAGCAGGTTAGACCCTCAAGCAGGTCAGANATTGTGTTGGTGTTCATGTAATCTATGTATGCAGGTGCTGCACATGATGGAGGCGAGTGTGATGGAGGTGGACGAGCCTCGCAGTCACAATCATCATCTCGTCAAGCTGAGATTTGTGCTGCTGCCGACCTCTCATTACAAGCAGGAACTGCCTGTCACTTGCAGGGACGTTCTTAGCTTCCTCGAGAAGGTCTACTTCGAAAAAGGAATCATCAAGAGATTGAATTCTTCTGGAAAATCTCCTGAAATATGGTGCGTATTTAATTGACCGTGATTTTTCACCACAGCTTTTAGCGCATTTTGTCATTTATGGAAAAAAGGCGCTATTGTGCTCGCCATGTCCGTCCGTCTGTCCTTCCGCCTGACCTTCCGTCTGTCTGTCCTTCTGTCTGTCCGTCCGTCCGTGACTTCACGTTTTCGTCGACGAGAAAATGCGCTCTCTGTCACTCACTGCAGTTAGTACTGAGTTATATTTTTTATTCGTATGTTAATGAGGGAAATGGCAGAAATTTCTAACTGATAATTACAATTATTTTCCTTGTTATTGATGAGGTTATGTGTAATTTGTTAGAAAAATTTGTGGCCGACGCTTCTGTAAACGAATCTTTTGTACTCTGCCAGCCTATTGTTACGGGATTGAGTCAAAGTTAAATCTGTACGTAAGCAATATAAACCTGGATAATGTTACTATTATCAATTTCACTTAAGAACTTGTCGGTTTTAAATCGAAGCCACATTAGATTTCAGTTTTAAAATCTAATTTTGGCTAAAATCTTGCCGTTTTAAGCGCAACATTCGAATTTTTCTCTATTTTAAAATCCATTTTGTTTCTCGACGCTTGATTTGCTTGTTCTTCAAAGCTAATTTGAAAACAAGATTGCCGTTCTTAATTCAACCCTGGATTATTTTTGTTTTAAAACTCAATTTGACTGAAGTTTTGCCATTTCCAGCTCGACGCTGGACTCGGTTTCTGCTCCCACAAAGCAGGCGCCTAAGAAAGAGAGCGAGGATGCGGAAGATGGCGACTTAGCAAAAAAGGACGACGATGAGGTATGGTTTTATCTGAATCCGCTTCATTTTTAACTTCTATTTAACTTTTATTTATATAACTTATATTTTATTTTTAACTTTTTCTAATAACTTTTCCCTTAATTAAGCTTTCTCAATTCTCCCAAACCCCTATAGTATATACACGGTTCTTTTGCACCTATTTTTAATATGCAAATAATCTGTCATATTATATATATGAGTATAAGCTATTTGGGTAGTTTTCATTTCAAACTGGCAGGTGCTTTTTTGCATCTCCTGACAGAAATTTATGAATTGCAAGCAAACAGAGGCTTAATATCAGCACAAAAATGCCCAACCCATTTAATTTTTTTTTTGCTTAAGCGCCTACTGGCACCATAGTTAGGTGCAAGTAATGTAGCGTCTACTAGTGACAATAAGTAGTGAGGTAACGAAATCAGTTGATTTCGCGGTGACGTGGCGCGGTCGATATCGTGTAGACATGCCATGATGATTTCGTGTCGGGTTGATTTCATATTAACGTATCTATGTTGATTTCGTATTGGCGTATCATAGTTGATTTCGTATCGCCGTATCATAGTTGATTTCGTATCGACGTATCATACCTAGTTGATTTCGTATCGCCGTATCATTGTTGATTTCGTATCGCCGTATCATTGTTGATTTCGTATCGCCGTATCATTGTTGATTTCGTATTGACGTATCATAGTTGATTTCGTGTTGACGTATCATGGTTGATTTCGTATCGCCGTATCATAGTTGATTTCGTATCGCCATATCATAGTTGATTTCGTATCGACGTATCATAGTTGATTTTGTGTTGACGTATCATAGTTGATTTCGTTTTTATGTATCATAGGTGATTTTGTATTAACATATCATAGTTGATTTCGTGTTGACGTATCATAGTTGATTTCGTATCGCCGTATCATAGTTGATTTCGTATCGACGTATCATAGTTGATTTAGTATCAACGTATCATAGTTGATTTAGTATCAACGTATCATAGTTGATTTCGTATCGACGTATCATAGTTGATTTCGTATGACGTATCATAGTTGATTTCGTATCGACGTATCATAGTTGATTTCGTATTGACGTATCCTAGTTGATTTTGTACACTGTTCGAAAAAAGATAAAAAACAGTCTCACCGGCGTTCTAGTAACCGGCCGCCACGTGAAAATAAACCGTATATCATATTTTCAGATGTTGTATGGGTTTCTAGTGCTAAATTCGAATAAAAACGGTCTTACGGTGTTTCTTTTCACGTGTCGACCGGCCACTAGAACGCCGATGGAACCGTTTAACCGTGACTTTTCTTACAGTTTATTGACGTATTCGTGTACGATTTGTGTTATAGTGACGTATTCGTGTACGATTTGTGTTATAGTGACGTATTCGTGTGTGATTTGTGTTGTAGTGACGTATTCGTTGATTTCGTGTTAATGTTTGCACGTGTGCGATTAGTGTTATAGTTGTCTCTTATACACATCT